CTTTAAACATCACAAATTAGGGTTCTCTGGTAGATTCCTTTCAAAAGATTATGTACCATCTAGAGCGCAGAAGTGAGAATAACTGTAGCGTCCTATAATCGTATCTACCTCATCTTGAGCCCATCCAGCAGCTCTTTTGAGAGTATTTCCAACTTGGCCTAACTTCGATTTAGCCATTTCCTTGTAATCCGTATTAGTGATTGTGTCTTTGATTTCTCCGGCCTACAACACCGCAGTGTAACGTGGTACTGAAACCTACAACACACTCACATACCTTAGCTCTGGCTGAACCTGCCTTAGCTCTGGCTGAATCTGCTATCTCTTCTCCTGTCTCGCTCACTTTTCTCTTAGCCCCTTGCACATATTCGTTTTCAGTCACATCTTCCACTAGTTCTCCAGCCTTTAAGCATCACAAATTAGGGTTCTCTGGTAGATTCCTTTCAAAAGATTCTGTACCATCTAGAGCGTCAGAAGTGAGAATAACTGTAGCGTTCCTTTACCTCTTCTTGAGCCCATCCAGCAGCTCTTTTGAGACTATTTCCAACTTGGCTTAACTTTTCTTTGAGCATTTCCTTGTAATCCGTATTAGTGATTTTGTCTTTGATTTCTCCGGCCTACAACACCGCAGTTTTACGTGGTACTGGAAGTTATACTACTATCACTTACCTTAGCTCTGGCTCCATCTGCTAGCTCTTCTCCTGTCTCACTCACTTTTCTTTTAGCCGATTGCACGTACTCGTTATCACTCACATCTTCCAGGAGCTCTCCAGCCTTCAAGTGTACTCTTTCCTGTGGCTTAAGTCAAAGAGCCAGAGTAAGCGTACGTACCTCTTCTTTGGCCCACCCAGCAGTATTTTTGAGAGTTTCTCCAGCCTGATTAGCCATTCCCCTGTAATCCGCATTGGCGATTTTGTCGCGGACCTCTGCGGCCTTCAACATCACAGTATTAGTGAATGTCTTGAAAAGCTATGATAGACTCACTTACTTTAGCTCTGGCTGCCTCTGCCATCTCTTCTCCTGTTTCACTCACTTTTCTTTTAGCCGATTGTACGTACTCGTTACCAGTGATCCCTTCCAGGATCTCGCCAGCCTTCAAGCGTCACAAATTAGAATTCTCGAGTAGTTTATTCAGGGGTATCCCATCGTGTATAACGTCGAAGAGTCAGAAGTTAGAATATCAAGC